CTTCGCCCCCGCACAGCAATTTGCTTGGCCAACCAAGTCTGGCGGCAACCTAATTGCGCTCCTTTTTTTTTTTTCAACCGTTGATGATTGCAGGGACCAGGACAGTTCGCGAATACCAACCGCTGTTGCGGACTGTTCAGGACAAGGTTCTAAACCGGCCAAGTAGCACGCCCTACCTTGAATCACACACCAAAGAAGAATGGATAATCGGTCAGTTACAGAAGTAAGTGTGTTCGGTTCCTCGGCCATGAGAACAATCTCTTCGTCTGTCTGTCCTGAGTTTGTCTAGGGTAGCTGGTAAGACCGTTCAACGTCTCGCCCCAGCTTGGACGTGACAGACTCGGCATTAGGGTAGGGTAGGCTGAATAACTGACATCAAGTATGAACATCGGAACATGTCTCTGTTATTTCTGCTTTGAAACGTTGGCTTGTCACCTTCAGAGCATCTCAGAGTTGGTAATGCCGCAGCCATCACTGAGGATTGCGTGCCTGTCGCTTCCTTATGGATGTACCATACACTCACTCTGACTCCATACCTCTCTCTGTTCTAACAACGCCGTGCAAAGTATTGCCTCTTTTATCGAATGTGAACTACGACGAAAGACTGGACCCAATTTATGGACTGCCATTTGTTTACACAACCGCAATCGATATATCATTACCTAGAACCAGAATCTCGGCTGAAGAGGCAGTGGGATATACACAACCACAAGAAGTACGTTGGGCAGGGAAGGCATATTCGGCTAATTACCGGATCTTATCGGAGCTCGTCTTCCTCAGGAACTCTGTCACGTGCCGATACCGCTACTCGGCTTGCTCCTGCGTCATGGGTGGATTACGGTCAGGGAGCTTAGCATAACGTGGCATCAAATATCCGTGAGCATATAGCTTCGTTCCTGGCGAACATCCAAGCTGCGGCTCCTCGGAAACAAAGATGGAGCTATAAGACCAACCCAAATATTTTACTACGAGATTTTTCCTGCTTTCCACAGAGACAGTCCCGATGCCCAAGATGCGCTTGGGGTGGTACGCAGGGGTATGTTTGACGACGCCATCATGAACCGTTGCAAGGCTCGAGGCCCTAGATATCTGGATCGGAATTGACTCATCTCTTTAGGTCTCCACGGCCCTTGCTGGCGCTGTTGTAATTTCAGCCTTCCAGCAGCGTGCCAACTTCTATTCGGCCATGGTTTATCTGGCCCAAAGCAATTTCTGTCTTCTGGTAATAGCCTACCCTCACATTTGTTGTATCATGCACGACCCCAAGCGAGCGCTAGCTAATACTTTCCCCATAGGCGCTGGTAAACTTCAGCCTCTTGCTATATAGCAGCTTTATCTATGGCCTCACCAAACTTTGCTTTGGCACTCTTCGAGCCGTCGAAGTCGAACAGCTTACCGAGAGAGCCTGGTTTGCCATCACGGAAACATGCCTGGCAATGACGATATTTCGCGAGGAGATTGGGGCCTGGTTTCTGGTCATGTTTACTTCCTTGGTTACCGGGAAGGTATGGGGTTGGATCGGCGACGGAAGAGTGGAATTTCTAGAACAACAGCCGCCAGCAAATCCCCGACTATTCCACCTGAGACTCAGTGTCTCCCTGGCCATCAGCTTCATATACGACATCTGGATCCTCAAATACACCGTCGATACTGTGATCCAACAAGCAAGACCGAATATGATGGTCATGTTTTTGTTTGAGTTCGCCGTGCTGGCCACGTGTTCCTGGCGAACTGCAGTTCGCTACATTCTCTCAATTGCAGAACAGAATATTGTCAAAGCACAAACGAAAAAACGTCTAATTGAACGGAGACAAGAGATTCGACGACAACGAGAAGCTTTGATTCGCGAACGAGAGCAGGCTGCTGCGGCTGGACAAGAGCCGCCTCAACACCAAGAGCCCCTTCCCAGCGAGGACGACATAGATGAGATGGATATTGAGGTTCCTGGTTGGACCACCAAAGGTGAATGGGTACTTTGGCTGGATTTAGTTACCGGTAAGTTACAGAGTAGTCATGGACATGGCCGACCGTTGGTTGATTGGTATCTAATTATGCACAGACATGATAAAACTCGGTATTTACATTGCCTTCTTCTTCATGTTGCTGAGGTTTTACGGGCTGCCTATTCACATCATGAGAGATCTCTTCATCACATCGAGAGATTTCATTAAGCGACTAAACGCACTTCTGCGATATCGCCGCGCTATTCAAGAAATGAATCGATACCCCGATGCCACCCTGGAAGAACTGTCCCAGGAGAATACTTGCATCATATGCCGAGAGGAGATGCGACCTTGGGATCCTGTCAACCACCCTGGGGCAATTGACCGTGTCCGTCCGAAAAAGCTGCCATGTGGTCATGTTCTACATCTCGGCTGCTTGAAGAGCTGGCTTGAGCGTCAGCAGGTCTGCCCGACGTGTAGGAGCCCTGTTACCATGGATCGTGTCCGAGGGGGGCATAATAGAGCAGCGGGCCTGCAGATTCAGATTGGTGGTCCCGCCCGAGTACTGGCTGGACAACCACCGGCCGACGGTGGTAACAATGCGCCAGCCGGTCAGCAAGGACATAATGGCGACCAAGCTCCTCCCGGCAGGGACGGTGGCCCTAGAGTTTTCAACTTGGGACCATTCCGACTCGGCTTTGGAGCAAATGACCAACAGGCCCGCGAACTTGCTCAACAATTTGGCATCCCTCAGGCCCAAGGGAACCGTGTCGATCATGGTCTTCCTACACCAACCCCAACCCAGACACAACAACAGTCTGGAGACAGCATGCAGCAAATTGGGAATCTACTTGGCCAAACAGAGCAAATTGTGCAGAGGGAATTGCAAAACCTGCAGGCAGCCCAGCAAGAGCTACAGGTAGCCTATCTTCTCATGGCCGAACTTCAGCGACTCCGCCAGCGCCGACAGCAACAGCCCCATGATCAGCCATTAAGAGGACGTGGCAACGCGCCAGTTACTATACCCATGGCTCAAAACCAGATTTCTCATGTTGCAACACAAGGCAATCACGCCCAAGTTCCTTTGGGTAACGCGGTTCCTACCATTCCTCCGCGGATAGGCAGCCCATTTATGGCCCGCCATGTAGTTCCAGCAAATGGTGTAACGATACCTGCAGGTAGTCCTGATCTCCCAGAGGGCATTACGCTACCTCCTGGCTGGTCATTGATACCGCTTCAGAGACTGGATGGAACACAGCCGACTCACCACCCATCTCATACCACAGCAACATCTTTCAATGCGGAAACTCCAAATCCTAGTCAGTCGACCAGCCGCCCTGCGGCAACATCGTCTACTGCTGAGGCTGCCGGCGATGAAACTTCCTCGTCCATGGACCCCAACATGACCTCCTCCCGGTTGCCTACACCAGGGGACGGTGTCAGGGATGGCACTAGTGCGGGCTCCCAAACAGTGAGATCAACACCTGTGGTTTCCCCAAGTCCTCTCATACCAAATTGGGGCGGTCCTGCACAATTATTCAGTAACAACAGATCGCGTTCTGACGTCGTCGATAATGCTGTCCGAACAGCAAGCCCCCCTGTTGATGCGGAACCGTCGAGGGACCAGGGTCGCGATGAGCCTCCAAAACACTCTACACAAAAAGATTTAGCTAGCAACGAATTGCATCATCATGGGACTGTGGGGTCTAGCACCGAGGTCGTCGTAGACTCGAGTGATAAAGGGAAGGCCAAAGCCGCCACGGTTGAGGAAGCTGAGGAAGGCGAGGAAGGCGAAGAAGATTAAACTTGCCTGGCCAATATTACTATGTTAGTCTTTTCAGCAAAATCGAATGTAATAAAATATTTAGCCCAGTATACAGAATCTGTGGTGACGAGACCAAGACGATGCCAATGCAAGAAAATGAAACGTCACGACAGCGCCTAGTCTGTTAGCGTGTCTCACGAACTTTCAGGTCTGGCTCGTTGATCTCTGCACGGCTGCATCTTGTCTAATCTTTTTTAAGGATCACTGAAAGTCATCAGCAACGTGCAGAGGTGCCACGAGCTACGAATAGCCCACGAGTGATTGAAATAGAAACGTAATACGGAGTACATCAGTTCAAAACGTAGAGATGGACTGTTCTTGTAAATACCAGAATGTTGAACTCCAGTTAAAAGATAGACAAGGCTGATATGCAGGAAATCGAGAGTACAACAGAATGACTACTTTATTGTAAAAGTTGAAAGCAGAAAAGATCGTGCAAATACTCTGGTCATGGTTCATTATATGTATAATACAATAAGTAAAAAAAGACTCCGAGATTGAACTCGACAACACGCGTTCATATGACATTATACGGCCAATTTCGCTAGAGACCAAACTGAGATATCCAAAACAAAGGGCAATGAAAGTTGGACTGATGTGAGAGGTACAATATGGATGCTGCGTGATGTGTACATGTCAACCACAAGAGCACAGCCTACTCGGACACAGCCTATTCTGTAAATTCTTCGACAAGGGGAGCCGAGCTGCCTTCTTTAGTCGTGCTCTCTGGCGATGCATCGTCACGATCGGTCAAATCGGCGACGAGAACAGCCGTTGTGGACTTCCCTCGTATAGGTTGCGGGCTTAAGACGCTTGTAGGAGCGGATTGTGTCACATACGTCGGTGACTGACCGGGTTCGGATCCAAAAGGCAATGGTCTTGATCGAATTTCGTGACTTGCCATTTTCCCTGGCACGCCATCATCGCCGCTGAGTTTCCGGAGTAATGCTTCAGATTGTTGCTGGGCTAGCAGTTGAAGCTGGGCAGCCGGATCCTTGTAAGGAAGTCCTACGTCAGCCAAATCGCACCGGCAATCGGCAGGCCCCCAGCGTCTCCCATGCACACATACCCATTCTGACTGTGATGGAACACCCTCAGCCATTGGAAGCAACTGGGCATTGTCTGCTGAGTTGAAGGCTTCGTCATGACCCCCCCACCATGAGGGACGCCTGATCGGTGCTGGCGTCACTGGTAAGCTCGGCCGTTCCAATTCTGTTGGAAAGTCTGTTACTTTAAACGCGGCTTGTAAAAGTCGCCGTTGTTCCACTCCTTATCTGCCCCCCCGTTCGACGATATCTCTGCAAGCCGTCGACGTATCGGCTAATTTCAGGCACATCGTCCCAAGCATTGACTCGCGAGTAAGAACTCCAAGGATCACCAGGAGCTGGCGCTGGCAAAGCAGCACCAACGTCAGATGCTGCGGTATTCCTGTCTGTCACATCACTACCTGAGAGTCCCGTTGCAAATTGTTCAGGGAGTGTGGCAAATGCCTCTGCAGGAGTTGGCTCTTGATGTTGTTCATCTGACTCGCCGGGTTGTGGTTTCCCAAAGGGCTCGTCCACTGTTGTAGTAGTAAATGAGCGTGATGGGGCGGGTTGGCGGGCTTCCCACGGAAATATTTGCTTTGGAATTTTGGTTGATGGGGATGGCGGTTCTTTTGGAACCTCGTACCACATATTTTTGGGTGGGCTGGGGTAGCGTACGGGTGGAATAAAAGGTGTAGTATCTCTTGACATCTCGTAACGAGTCGACGGGAAATCTATCGCCTCTGGCTTTGAGCCGGGTGGGGGGGGATGCCTGAATTTGGAGAAAGGTCAGCAATTCAGTTAATCCAGACCCTGCGAAGTACTCACCTTTGGGCATCCCAACTAGCCAAGGCCAATGCGGGAAGCTGCCTCTGACTCAGGGCAGAAGAATCTCGTGGAGTCTCGACATGGACCGGGCCGTGACGATCTGTGGACATCTCAGTAGCTGTTTCACCTTCGTTACGCGCAGGACGGAGTGGCTGGGGTGAATATGACGCATCGATATTGGAACAGTTATGTGATGTTTGCCGGGTGAGTACTCACCTGCTCCCTCTTCAATGTATGCTTGGCTAGTGTTCTTGCCCTCATCACCTCCTGGAGGCAACTTTGTAGAGGGGTATGCCGACGCGAGAGTTGTGTCTACAATTCCTTGGCTTGGACGTCGACTTGAAGTTTGCCTGTAACTGGGTTGGGCAGCGGACTCCTATACAAAAGCATTAACAAGAACTTCCATCAACAACTTGGAACAGGAAGATGGCGAGTTGTTCTACGACCGACTCTCAGGGTTGAAAGGCGTACCTGTGCTCTATAATGGCGATCATAGACAGCCCACCAGCGACCGACCATCTCGTCGAACGGCGTGTTACCATGGGAAGCGCTGCGACCAGAAAACCAAGGCTTATTGGCACCAATGAAATGGACCATGCTGATGCTAGATTGGAAATGACGATACGCAGGTATGTACTGGTAGTGGGCGGATGGCGTAACATTGTAAGTAAACGATAAGCGATTCAGACTGTGTTTAAAATGCATGTTTATGAGGCCTTGATCTGCACCATCAAATGAAATTCCTCTGTCCGCCATGGCGAGCATGGCGTAGTAGTCACCCATATTCGGAACAAGAACCATGACACCGGTGTTGACAAGATCCGGCCATCCAATGTCCGGAGCGGCGGAGAAGGCATGAGGCAGCTCAAAGAGCTCGTCTGGAGCTCGATAGGCCACTACGTCGGCGTCGATGTAGACTATTTTGGAAAACTGAGTTTGCTTCCACAGGTTGATCTTGGTGAAAGCCGAGTGCAAGTCGGACCTTTTCATAAGGCGTAGATTGGCAGGCAGCTCATTCCGAATTCTTGGGACAGGAAGGACATAATCGTAGACGGTCTGTGAAAGTGCAATTTCATTAATAGCCATTTTATGAAACGGCAGGTGGCATTTGTGGCAAACTCACCTTAAGCTGGGTGATGGTCTCTGCCGAGACAGAATCCAATGTTACCAGAACCGCGAGCCGCTTGGAAGTGCCGGCATCGCGCAACGAGTGGGCGAGGACCAGAGCGCCGGGTAGGTAGGAATCGCTCAAGAGAAGCTGAGGGATGGTCAGTAAAACAATTCGCCAAAGTTTCCAGGTAGAAATGCCGTGTATTGTCTTCTGGAAGGACAGAGGAAGAAGCAAACAGAAAGGCAAAAGCCAAGACAAGAACGAAACGACGTACCGTTGCATAAAGCTGCTCTCCTGTGGCCGGGTCTGCCGCTGACATTGTGACCGGCAAGGCGATGCTGGTTTGCGACGACCTAGGTCATATCTCCCTTCGCCCCTTCCTTCTTTTTTTGTTCCTTCCTTATTTGCCCCTGCAAAAGACTGGGCGACGAGAAATCGATGGAAGCTTCAGACGCAACCTGACCGAGTCTTCGACGTATAGCCACCAGGTGCGGGGCGCGACGCTGCTCAGTGTGGCAAGTCTATCGAGGTTGACTCGACGTCCACCAGATTGACCATTGGCCGGCCATTCAATTCCTCTGGGGCGAGGGGAGGGAAGGAAGGGGTCATTCAATCAGCCAATGTTGACGGTTGGGAATCTGGAGAAACATCAATGGCAGAGACCAATTCAGAGCAGAGATGGCACTCGGGTCCCCCAGGCGACAGCCAACTAGCCATGACGTTGACGGCGCAGTTTCCTGTTTAGCGTACCAAAGGTCCACAGCCCGTGGCCCCAAACGAGCACATGCATTCTATGAATTAACCCAAGCTTGCCCAATTGATCCAAGCCGGTCGGCTCGAAGCTTTGTGCCGCGTGGCATTTGACAATGCGGGCCGCACAAATCTGCCCAAAGCTACATATGACCTACCTACCTAACTATAAAGTGCGCAGTCTGGTAGATAACGTGAGCACCGAGAGCTGCACAATGAAGCCTGGGCGCCCCCACGTGCAATTGCGAGAGCTCTCTTTGCGGGGGACTGAAGAGCTTTGCCCAGGTCAGTATTGAGCCAATTGCAGGTGTCATGAAACAGCCCTTGCTTGCGTCGCTCCATGGCTCAACATCTCAAGAACTATGGCGTGAGGTGCTTGGACATGTTATGCCTGGTTCTTCTTTAACTAGGTACATACTTAGGTTACCTGGTTAGTAGTCATGCTTCTCTTCACCAATGCAGGATGCCAACCAGCAAAAAAAACAAGACGAACATCGCACACCCCGCATTTGATACTACTCTACTGCCAGCTTAGGTCCGGCATGTTCCGGGTGGACCAATGTGCCAAGTTTCGTGACCCGCCGTGTAACTAGTAACTGCATCTTGGCAAACGGATCCTTTGATGGTTCTGCTTAATAAGTCGTGTAACCAAATGTGAACAACATTGAACCCTTTTGCCAGACAACCGAATTTTTTTTGAATGATTTTGGCTTTCATCGTGATTCATCTGCCCCTCTAATATTCACCAGCCTCCGACCCAGGTTCGACCAAGGATTAGGCACATCGGTCAGTACATACAAATGTTCAAACGTTTGCGGTTTCATCAACGACATAAAGTTCATGATAAACCAGTAACACCATGTATTCCCAGTACCGATCAAAACCTCGACCCTGGGGGATCGACCTCGACACGTGGCGGGTCTCCCTTGGCTTCTGCTCTTGCCCTGTACGTCGTCTGACGATACCCAGCACCGCTTAAATATCTTTCTTATATGCATGTTCAGGTTTATGTGTTGTCTCGTAGTCGATATGAACATACGCCCGCTCAACATCCGGAAGGCTTTCCAACTTGAACTGAAGCTCCTCAGCGGTGTCATGAGTTTCCAGCAGCGTACCGGCAGGGTTCATGACAATGTCTACCTCGGCAATCAGTCGTGGACCAGAGTGGTAGACACGTACGGTGTCGATGCCTTGCACAGCAGGCGAATGCGTGAGGCACACGTAAGTGATGAGTTGTTGCATGTCAACAGATGCGACGACGCCTACCAACAACATAAATTCGTTAAATGCAGTTCGAAGCCAGACCCACGAGATCAGGACTGATAGCAAGATGGCGCCCATTGGGTCAATCCACCATTGAAGTTTGGCACCACCGACAGATGTCAGGATACCAAATCCGTTGACCAAGAGATCGTTCCGATGGTCTTGCCACAAGATGTTGACCTGACTATACTTGTTTTTAAGAGACCAGCAGTACAAAAACAGAGAAAACTTGGTAAGGAAGGCAGCACAGACAGAAATGACGGATGGCAAATGGAATTTCTTGCTTGAATTCGATTGACTGAGCTCTTGAGCGGCAAACGCGATGATAATGAGAGACACCGACGTCATGAGGAAACAGAAAATGATGTTGCCAACTGTTTCAAGTCTGGCTTTGCCCGCTGGGAAACGGCGGGGGTCAACTCGTTTGATTGCGCGGTTGGAGAAAATAAGAGTGAGCGTGCTGAGCGGATCGAATATGGCATCTGCCATGGTTGTGAACAAAGATAAAGACCCAGAAGAGATGGCGGCGTATAGCTGCAGCCCGGTGAGAATGACGTTGGCGGCAAGAGATCCATATATTGCGATGCGGAACTTGACCTGGTCGTCGCCTTGCTCTTGACGGGCTTCGGCGCGGTGTTCCTCCACGGACTTGAGCATGCGTTCGATGGCTGCGTTCTGATTCTCGTAAAAGCTACGGACTTTTCGAGCATTATGTTTTGGGCCAGGCTGTGCACTGTTGATGGAAGATCCCTTGGCGGACGGACCGCATATTCGCGACCCACCTCTCTTGCGAGAAGAATTAGCCTTGATTTGATCCAAATCTGATTCCGTCTTGTAGGAACATGAGAGCCCATATGGATCGCTCTCGATGTTAAGACGTGGCAGCCTTGAATTTGGACCGGCGGTCATCTGGCTCTCCACGTCTGTGGCGTGAGATGGGTGCCTCTCAAAGGCATCTTGCTCTTGGCCAGGAGGTGCAACGGGCTCTATGGAAGTACTAGCGGCACGATGCTGTTCATGATGGTGGTGGTAATGATGCTGGCTTTGGCGCGCGGGCGAGTGAGTGCCACTTCCGCTGCTGGGGGACGAAAGCTGTTGGAGGTGAAAGATGGATGGATGGTGAGTGATGGTATTGCTGCCGTCTGGCGTCATATTGAGAGTCTTGAGGGTCGCCCTCAGCCCCGGGCCATAAGGTGAAATATTATATATGACACCAAAGAGGAGGAAAATGGGAAAGAGGGGAGTGGGTGCGTCCTCTGGAAGTGGCGACGACAGGATACTTATGGAGGTGCGAAAAGGGCTGCTGATGTCTGGTGTCTTGGAAAGAGCGTGTGGTGTTAGGTAGGTAGTTAGGTAGGTGACTACCTAGGTAAGTAGACATGTAAACCTTGGAAAGCAACCAGTCGACTACTTGGCTGAACACCCGCGGCAAAGGCACAAATCTCTCGAGCATCAGTCAATAAACCAAAAAGGTGAGCACTAATTTTGGTATTGCGGCACTCGGATTGACTAGTTCAGTACCAGCAATAGGTCTGGTGGACTATCAAGGATGCTCGAGTGGCAGTCACCACCTCCCTAGGGAGATGACGAATTACAGCGAAGATCCCAATGCGAGCCGACTCAGACACGCCTCCTCTATAACTGCCTCCTTACCTAGATACTTAAGTAGGCAATTAGACCACTTGTTAACACACTGCAGCATCTGAACTCTGGACGAATCTCATCGACGGGACCCGGGGGTCCAACTTCCTGGGTGCTGGTTCTTTCCAGCAAGCCAATTGGTGGGTACTGCTTACATGGCTGCGCTAACAAATGCTAGAGTTGTCGTTATTCACTTGCGTCACAACAGGAAGGTGGGCAATAGGCAAAAACCAACTGCCAACCTTTGTTGAGGTTTTAGCAATCATATCCCTGCCCAAGTACCTAACTCGATGTGCCCGCCGTTGAAGTCCACTTTATTTCACATCGTTGATTGATCAACTCTTTTGGTTGAGCAGGCAGTACATAACTAGTCCGGTGCTATCAAGCCTGATCCTCGGTCTCTGCCACACCGCCCACAATTCCCCTTCCCTAAAGAGTCTGGTCTGGTCTGGTTGGCAGCTGTTTGTCCAAGGCGTGACAGGGGGGGCCGTGCTATTCGTGCTACCAACCCTAACTATTCGTGCTAATGCCCCACCTTATTTTTAGGCCTACACCCTAACATACCACGCCCCGCCATATAATTTCACATGCATTGCCCTAGTAATAAGAGAGTTATTACGAAATACGATTCAAGACGCAACGACAATAAAGACTTATAATACGGTCGCGAGCGCGGTTAGGAAACGCTATAAATCGCACATAAACTCGATCAACAGGTAGACAAGCCACGAAGTAAGCAGTAGTATTAGGGTCGCTGGAAATTGAGGAAATTATCCCTTAAACACAGCCGAAAGAGCCGCAGCTTTGATGGATGACCCCTTGGGAGCCCGGGCAGCGCCCACGGCGGCAGCGGAATAATTAACGGCCCGTGAATGTGTACACATTCATTAAAAACACCGGAAATCGCGTTTTTAAGCGATTTAAGCCCTAGCAGAGCCCTGCCGGTGCTCGCCCGAGCTCGTGTTATTGAAAAAATGATACCAGCTTTTAAATACTACTAATTGAATTTTTAAAAAGCGGGCGCGACCATGTGGGTGTATGCGAAAATGTATGGTGGGGTGTGGGCAGCTGACCACTAGGCTAAATCGAGCGGTAGCAGCACGAATAGCTAGGGTTGGTAGCACGAATAGCACGACCCGACAGGGGAGGCCTCTCATCTGAACATGACAACACACAGCGTCGTGGATTGCCCCCGAAAAAGCTTAACCATCTCCTGTGTTTACCTGTCTTGGTACAGTTGGGTATGACTGAGGTGGAGTTTCCCCAGCAGTGCATGTATGCATGTATGTGAATCTCACCCAATTGTATAACCTTTCCGTGCTAAGTCAGGTAAGGGACGAGTCTTTGAATTAAACACCGAAATATTGTATATAGCTATAGTACCCAAGTACAAAATAGTTTAATACATTTCAAATCTTATTGCGGATTCTCTTTTGTGATAATTAAATTTGGCCCACGAATTGCAAACAAGCGATGATTGGTAAGCTTTGTTCGGCGAGTATGGGTTTCCACTTGATAGTATCTATTATTACACCAGACAGTTTTGCTCTCGCGTTACCGCTGCCCAACTAGAGCTTTGCTTCGCGAGGTTCAGCCATCCCCGCGGATGCGGGACATCGCTCTAAGATCCATTCGATAACGTCATTTGTGAACTCATCTTTGCAGTGGTCCGCATGAAGCTGGTGATACGCTCCATGATATGACTTTGTCGTCTTGTCGTCGACGCTGTGTTGCTGTTCCATGAATCTAAGCGCAGCATCGTAGCTGCATGCCCGATCTTCTGTCCCGTGAGTTAGGAGTACGCCCTTGACGTGCTTGCCAAGCTGAACTTGACCAGATGATAGCAGAGCTGTCCGATCAAGGAGTGAAGCTAGACCTTCAAGAGTCCCAGTATCATGGCAAAGAGGATCATCTCGCACTGCCTGAACAACGGTCTCGTCCCTACTAAGGTACTCTGGTGGCACGACGTGTTTCAGCTGCTGCTTGGGTAGAAGGCGACCTATGAGGCGACCGACGAGTATCTTGATGCTACTGGGCTCCTCCCCTACCGGGAATCCAACAAAGGGACATTCGAGAATCCATCCTCGGACTTGGTCAACCATTTCAGCATATTGTGAATCCGCGGCAAGGGTCAACACCTCGCCGCCACCCATAGAATGACCCATGACGAAAACCGGCGATGCGGCCGCATCATCCTTGGCAGGGAGCTTGTCCCTTATAAAGGCAGCAACATCGGCGATGACCTGCGAGGTCGGTCCAGTAAGGCCCTTCTGAGCAGGCTTGGCGACACTACGCCCCCAACCGCGCTGGTCCCAGCCAAATACCTGAATACCCTTCTCAGCAAGCTTTGGGAAAAAATCGTTGTAGCGGTTAATATGCTCGCTGAAGCCATGTACGAAGATCAACTTGGCCCTTATGGGCCCAGCTGGCTGAGAATTGATGAGCTTGGTCAGCATCCTGAGGGCAGAATCAACGGCACAAGTGAATCCTGCGTACCGTCCATGTTTTAGAGTAGAAGCTGGCATCGCCATGCTTGAATTGGCCCTCAGATACCGTGAACATGTTTTGACTTGCCATCTAGAGTTCTTCGCGTTGAATAGCTATAACTGTATAGGTCCGGGACAGGGCTCTACTCGAGAGAGGCGCTCAAGACTCTTTGATCCCTCAGGAGACGCTAGAATACAGGACGACAGTGAAGATTCATACAAGAAGGCATACCAAAATTGGAGGCACAGGCACCATAAATGGCGGAATTGACAATTGACAAGCGACGTTCACCGACACGAGTGCAGATTGATGGCTGGGGCAGCATCAAAGGGGAGGGAAGTGGCGCGCAGAGACGCTAGTGGACAGCAGAGTTGGCATGTGACAAAACATGATGTCGCGGGTTGCAGCATGTCTGTGCGGTGCTGCGTGTGGATGGCCACTGGTGCACGCTACCGGCATCGAACTAAATATTAGAGACATGGAATCAATGTGCCTGGCATTACTTTAGTCAATCATGTCTGATTCCTCTCACGAACAGGCCCCTTGCGTCCGCTGAATAGTTACTGGAGTCTTTTTTATGTCACCGCACACATGTGCAAACTAACACCAGCCAGGCTGTAACAGGCGCCGCAGGCCAATGGCGTTTGCTGCAAACACTGTGCTTAAATAAGGCTAGTGACGAAATCATGAATGTGGATTTTTTTCTTGTATTTTGCTACATTATAAATAGCTCTTGTCTACGGAGTAGTTGTCCCCTCATATTGCTATATACAAAAGAAAAGGTACTGATACTTCATCCTTCTTCTCTGCTCCTACACGCCGGTATGCAATCCCTCCAAAGTGCGAGTGGAGTTTATCGAGATGTCTGTCTGTATGCGCCTTCCAACCCCGGCCAACCGACCAGACCCTACTCGAAATAAAATACAATGTGCCCGAAACGGACCGGCTCAACAACCGCTCAAATGTACGCGGTAATTCACCCAACTTGCTGCAAAGATCGCCAAGCAAACCATAAGCCGGGATGTGTAGTTTGCTTATCCGGGCCTCGGTGGCCACATCCCCGAACCGAGTCATTGCTTACCGACGTTGCTGCACCCCTTTCTCTTCTCGTTCTTGTTGGTCTTTGCGCTCCTTTCCTGGTTCTTCATGAAAGTCTTCTTCGCGTGCTAGGTCATCCTCTATTTCCTCTGCCTCAGTGATCCCCGGGCCAGAATTAGATGGTCGCTTCTCTGGAATCTCGCCGCCGCTCATCTGCCATTCCATCAATTTGCTGAATGCGCTATGCTTATCTGCAGCAAGTTGGCTGTAGCTTCCAATCTCTGCCACCTTGCCTTCGTTATTGAGAACAATGATTTGGTCCGATCTCTTAATTGTCGACAGTCGATGTGCAATGGATATAGTTGTGTTGTGGCCACGCAACAGTCCGGCTAGAGCTTCATTAACGAGCGTCTCTGACTCTGCGTCCAAAGCCGACGTAGCTTCATCAAGAATGAGGATATCCGGGTCCTTGAGCAAAGCTCGAGCAATTGCAATACGCTGCTTTTGTCCACCAGACAATTGTGATCCTCTAGCCCCCACTTGGGTTTCCAGGCCATCGGGAAGGTCGCTGATAAAGTTGCAATTGGCTCTTCGTGCAGCTGCAATAATCTCCATTCGGCTTGCACTCGGCTTGCCATATGCAATATTCTCAGCAATCGTGCCAGAAAACAGTACCGGTTCCTGTGACACCATCCCAATCCGCCGTCTTAAAGATTTGACATTCATGGTTGATACGTCGACTCCGTTGATGGTGATTGACCCAGATGTTGGATTATAAAACCTGAGCAGTAGTGAAGCAACCGTGGATTTACCACCGCCCGAGGGCCCTACCACACAGACGTTGCTCCCTGATGGAATCTCAAAGTTCAATCCGTTGAAGATCTTGACTGCCGGTCGCGTGGGGTAGGCGAAGCTGACATCACTGAACTTGATGGGGCCTTGTGCAGACTTGACTCGAACGCCAACCGTTTGGTGAATACCTGGACGACGATCCTGGAGCTCAAAAAGCCTGCTCGCCGCTCCAACTCCCTTCATGAGTTCTGAATAGAACCCTGAAAGTCCAAAGAGACTTGAGCCAGCGAAAGCAGTGTACATCATGAACGAAGTAAGGTCGCCTAGAGACATGGCGCCCGAACGAACAAAACTGCCTCCAACAATCAGCATGGCCAGGATGGTCATGTTGCCAGCCCAACCGGTTGAAGCGAAAAAAGTGGCGGCGATTAGAGATTCCTTTTTCCCAAGGGCGAATATTCTTCTGATTTGTTTGTTGTAACGGCCAACCTCTTGAACTTCGCCGACAAAGGCTTGGCTTGTTTTAATATTTCCAAGACGCTCTTCCGCGATTTTGGTGAGAGTACCCAAGTTCTTTTGGATTGTCCTGCTAATATTACGAATTGCACGGCCGTAAAGGACGGCGCCCACTGCTATGGGCGGAAACATTAGAAGAAGCAATCCAGTCAGCTTGGGGCTTGTCCAGACCATGATGGCGAAACCAGCGCCACCGCTAAACAATGCTCGGAGACCGTCGCTCAGATTTTGCGTTACCGACTTGCCGACAATGACAGTGTCCGAGCTGAGTCGTGATATGAGATCTCCGACTCGGTTCGCATCAAAAAATTCCGCATCCTGCACGTACGTGCGCCTGTACAACTGCGATCGCAATCTGGCAACGACCCGCTCACCAACGATTCGGAGCAGAATAACCCTGCCAAAATTCGCCATCGCGCCTAAGGTAAGGATGGCACCAAGGCCGATAAAGAATTGATTCAGAGTAAGGCCAAACAAACGTATATCGTCAACATCGCCCTTTGTGGCAAGATCCAAGATGCGGCCCACAGAGAAGGGAATAGACATTGTGACACTAGAAGATATCACGAGGAAACAGAAGGCTAGCCCAAGCCATCGGATCTCTGGCCGGGCGACCTTTATGAGCCTCCATATCTCCCCAAGCCCAGCCTTGCTTTGAGATTTCCCTTCTTTGGACAGTCTCGCTGATAAATTTACCTCAGCAGCCTTGGCCGCCTTGTCACTTTTTTTGAAATCGTCCTCGTCCTCGTCGCGGGGCTCCTCTTGAATTTCGCCCCTGTTGGAAACGCCCGAATCGCTATTCGTCTTGCGCTGATTTTGCTGAAGGATGAGCCGCGTGGACGAAAAGAGGCGGATACGTGAAGATGGGCTCTGGAAGTGACGGAATACCACATGGTGAGTGTGCGGCTTGGGGTTCGAGGCTGCGTACGTTTGTTTGGTTCGTGGGCCAAACATCGTCGATGAGAATTGTGGCAGTACATGCCTATGCAAAGGCGTTGAATGAATGAATCTCAATTGAGGAGAGTGTGAACTGAATCTAGCATGGCCAACAGAGGCGTCAAAGATTTCTCCAAGGTTGAGTCGTGGCGGCACTGCGCGCCGCACCACGCCCGACACCATGTTGAGAAAAGCGCAGCTCAAGTAGCTTGGTACTGGAGCATTATAGGTACCAGCTGCCGGTCGCTGTATTGAGTGGTGATAACTCTGACAGAGACGAGGAGAAGGGCAAACTGGCACCTCAGGATGCCGTCATTTTCGCGGGATTTGGGGATGGCCGGGGTTGGAAGATTAACCTGAACGCCGAAAATTAAAGTGGGGGTCATTGAGATCCTCCTGGCCCAAAACATCCTAGTTAGCAACCCAGCCGCACCTGCACATCGTAGCATGTGGCTCATTTGTAAAAAGGTCGGCCTCGGATCGGACCTACAGCATTAAACCGCCGAGAGTGAAGAGGTGTTTGATCATTGTTGCAAAAGCCTATCAATTGACTTATTTTATAGCCATTATAGGAGCAGATTGTCGCACGAACAAATGCTCCATGCCGAAATTGGCATCATCTCGTCCATCTTGCTTCTTAATTGCTTACCTACCTCACTCTTATTACGTACCTAAGTACCTACCTACCTAGGTGCCTACCTAAGTACGAAATTCTTTTTTGACCCATCAAATGTGCAGAAATGTTCTCATTTAGTGCGAGATATCGAAAATGTCCAAGGCAGTAGTGTAGTTCAAACTTGACTGTACAAAATCCGGGCAACCCTGAGCACTGCTTAATCCTCAGGCCATAACCATGATCCACGCTCACGTCTCGGTGCTATCCTTCAACATTTCGGCTACCTCAGGTTCGATACCATCATCGCCTCCGAAGTCAGGGAAGTCTTCCGAATCATCTACCCGCCGTCTCTTCTTCGAACCGTTTGTTGAAACAGGTATTGACTGAAATGAGTGTGTTGAGTCTTGTTCTGTAGAGGACAAAATGTTCGCCGTCTCGGATGCCTCGACCGGTTCATCCGCGTCCTCATCTTCCATCTGAGGTGGAGTGAGAGCCTCCATCTCTGGCCTGTCTAGTTCGTTGTGAGGGCTTCCAGTGTCACCCTCTCCCGGCTGACCATTGCTCTCGGTAGGTCCCAAGGCTCGCATGATCGCGACCTCTACCTGCTGCTTTTTGTCTTCAATCTCCGCTTTCCTCTTGAGTAACTCGCCAGCTGCACTTTTGTCGGCCTCTAGAGCAGATCGACTTTCATCCAACAGCTTCTCCAAACCCAATACCAAATGTTCGCGGGCTTTCACGCACTCTGCGACGGCGCTTTCTGCGTTTGCTAGTGTTTTGAGCAGACCATTTAGACGGGCTGCATACACTGGAGCGGACGGTACTGCGACATTTGGGTCCATTTGTTTATCATATTCCTGGTTTGCAGAAGAGATCGTAGTCTGCAACGGCCCGCTAAGTTTAACCGTCTTCTGATGGGCTGCGATCAAAGGGCTGAACTCGGATGGCACAGAAGAACTTCCGAACGGCGAACCGGAGAAACCAGATTTTGGAGCCCCGCGAGCTTTGTCAAGTTCTGTCTGAGTGTTAGTGAAGGCAAGAAGCAATGGTGAGTATAGGTACGTACCGTCAAGGCGAGACTCGATGGCCCTCTGAATCGGTGCCTCGAAGATAGATCTGTCTTTCCAGACATCGATCACGCGCCGAAGTTTCGCCTGGATCTCTGCAGGCGCGCCCTTGTATGCTATAGAGGAGGCTTCGGCGACGATAGGCGAGAATGCTATAACGAAATCTTCCTTGTGACGTATTCTTGATTGTTGAACCACCTCTGTAGAACGAACCATGTCAGTGGGCCGCTGCGTTCGCATTTGATTACGCAGTCATATACACATGTATACGACACAGAAGGATCACCAGGAGCTGCTTACCGTTCGCGAGATACACCAAACTTAATCGCTTTGTGCTGGAAGAATCTTTCAGGCGTTGCATCCAAAGCTGTACGGTGCGGTCTGCATGACGTCTAGGAATAGGAGCCAACATCAGTGAGATGTTGCGCACAAAGTATAGACGTTATAAAAAAAATCTTTACCTGTGGAACATGATCCATTGGGCAGCGGTAGCGATGCTGTCGTGACTCTCATTGAGTGATGACAGCCGCGCCAGAACCGAGTCATCGTTGTACGCCATGCTTTCGAGCTGCGATCGCCGACAACGCGAGCGAGACGGAAGATCTACTTGCTAAGGAATCCAGGTATGATCTGCGTAATTCGACGGAGAGTGATCCAGGTAAAGTCGTGGAATGCTTTACAATGCGATCGAGGTAAATGTTACTACGGTGAAGTACTCTCGTGCTTTGAAGGTTTTCCCCAGGTAGACTTCGAGGCGATGATTGTTGGAGGTGTCCTTGCTCTATGGCGTTCTCAATGATATTCAATGTGTAGCCCAGCCGATCGCCCTAGAGGATGAAATAGTATTTTTTGCTAATAGCCCAGTTTTGCACGGTCCCCTAAGTGCTGATGTTCAGAGCTGATGTGGGCCAGAGGTTAGAGCTTTTGCATCAACCGAGAATCACAAACATGCAAGGGGCAAATCGGCCGTTGGAGTCCTGGTGCTCAAATGCAAAGCCCCATGATATGCAATATCCGGAGCGGTGGGTTCTTCCTTGGCCCACCGCCCGGCAGAATGCTGCCCCTTTGACGCTTCATGCCAGGTAGATGGGCACTTGGATGATCATAGCGAGCTGTGGAGAGCGCATTTGTCACTCCAATACTGCGATCGTAAAGTGGGAGTAATTCTCACAAAACAACACAACAGGAGCTTGTGTCAAGCAAATAGGCATTCTTCATAACTACACGATGGCAGATCGATTCCCGTCCCTAGACGACTTCGATTCCGGAGGTTTGTAATCTATTGGCTCAACTTCGATCACCCTCATCTACAATTTTACTGACTTGTCTGTTACAAAGCGCAAACCGAAATCAAAAATCCTTCCGCTGAGCCATCGGCCGACGACTTTCTTGCCAGGGAACGGGCTTTATTGGGAGACGACGCTGAGCAGTTCGCGACTAGTGAGGATGCCGTAGCTTTTGCAGAACCAAGCGGTGACCTCCTGGATCAGGATAATGTTGGCGAGTCAACCTTCGAATCTCAGTTTCCCGACCTTGCTAGTCCCTCTGCAGTATGAACAAGACAACTAGTTTCAATAGGTGCCGCGCTAATATGCTGAGCAGGGCACTACTGGTCCACCTGGAAGTACCTCTATCACTGGACCATCCATTAGTTATAATTCAGGTTACCAGTCTCATGTAGGCGATGAGGAGGAGCCGGAGGTTATCAAGCAGTGGAGAGAGCAGCGTGACGCACAAATTGCCAAACGAGCTGAACAGTTTGCTGCCCAGCGTGAGGAGACTATAAAAGAAGCGCAGCAGAACATTGACGATTTCTACGAGAATTACAACAGTAAGAAAGAAAAAGGAATTGCACAGACAAGGAAGGACGCCGAGCAATTTCTCGCCAAGCGCGAAGATACAGTTTCAGGCGGCACAAGTTGGGATCGCATTGCAAAGCTCGTGGATATAAGTGGCAAGAGCACCAAAGGGGGTGCAACTGGGTCCGGCAAGGAGCGCTTCCGCGAAATTTTGACAAGCCTACGAAAAGATGAGAAGGCGCCTGCAGCTACGGGATATTGAACACGGAAGTGCGATGTGACAGCATGCATGAAATCTTTTTACTCTCAAATGCACCAGTGGGCTACGAGATGCATTATCATTAATTTTATTGTCAAATGCAGCCCTTTCCGTGTAATTTAGAGGAGCTATGAAGTGGGCGGACTCAAGTACTCAAAACAACACTGATCTGCAATTGATAGGAGCTGGACGTTAACATGTCTTCCTACTATATTCGAAATCATGAAGTTGAGCAAGTAAAGTGCGCGTAATATTTTATCTGGGTTCGTCTATCGAACGGCGTACTAATAGAAAAGGTGGTACATGATCTCTGGACTAGCGCAAAATTGAATGCCCAGTTGCGCTCCGTATGTTTAATCTTTGCCGAACCAGGTGTTGTGGCCCGTAATCTTGCGTCCAGCAGCGTACATAGTGGCTAGATGGAATTAGCTGCGCGTTCAAAGCTGCTTTATTATGCTTGTACGAACCTCCGAATCCTCCCCAAAGGACAATAAGGTAGGGAGTCATATACCAACGGCTACGAGTGCCCTGTATGTAGTCAGCCAAATGATGACATGGTTGAGCCGGGCGATCCTCAATCGAAACATACAATCAACCAAAGACGGGTATGGGCCTTATATGCCTGCTGGTAGAATCGCTGATGCTGAGGCACCTTGTTCTTGGCGTCGACCAGACTGCATCTTGGTTAGCTAATGATTCCGTAAAGGCTGTCGTGAAAACTCCAAAACGAAGTCACAATTGACATGGGTGAATCCGAAAGGGTCGCGGCAGATAAGTATCGTTGCGAACGGATGGCTTACCCCATCTTGAAGAAATGTGCTCAAGTTCGTGTGAGGTTTGGGGGGAAGGGCAATCGTTGAAGCGGAGTGCTTGTGCTGTGACCGAGGATGTGGAAAGGCTCGCATTTAGAAATGAGGCCATTGTAATTGGGGTCAGCTGTTGATGACTCAGCAAAGGCTTCCTTTGAGGTCGTGCCGAGACACGTGCCGCTTCTGGGAAAGTACTTGCTTGGCGCTAAACTGCAAAGAGAGCTGCGGTTGGTGCCATCCTACAAAGTTGGTGGCAGCAATAATATCGCAACACTCGTTGCTCATCAACGAAGCGTAGCAGCCTTTGATAAAGCTACTGTGACCAAGTCCAATGAGTAGCCTGGGGTCATAGCTGCAACTGCATGAGGCGCATTGGGAATGCGAAGGTCGAGGCTGACTCTTCGTCATTCGCCAGTTGGTGTGCCATGGCCCCCAGCGGCGATAACCCATTTCCAACATTACTCCGTTCGATCCTTTACGAAAGATCTCACTGCTCTAGTATGGTCTTCTGTTACATCGAAAACGGTTTCTGCATTGAGTAGAGCTCCCGTCACTCGAAGAGGAACGCTCATATCAATATCGAGCTCGCCGAGCTATTCACTCGCCTGCCAGTTCAGTCGCTTGTTAGGCTCGTCAAGATGGAAGTTAGGAGGCAGGGTAGGGCAGGCTCCTATATGCCATGCGGCAATTCTGGCTACGGAAGGTCAATCGAGCCAAGCGGGGTCATCAGGACGAACCGTTCTCCAAGATTTTGAGATGGCTTTTCAAGCAAATGATTCACGGTCATGGGAAAATTGTGCCTTGTCGGTTCGTCGAAATCATGGCTGCGATGGGGTATGGGAGCTTTTTGGGTATATTCAAAACAATGGACTTTTACAGATGCTGGCCAACCATGACACACAGCGCCTTCGAGACGAAATTATTACCGCTGCCCTGCATCTCGACTCACGACTCATGGTCCTCGTCAATAGCGCACACGAACTCCTCAATAGCACCAAATTTCGATGGCCAGATTTATACATGAAAATTGTCTATCATATGCTCGACCACGAGCAATATGATAGAAGTATTCGGTGGCACCTTCAACTTGCGCCAACGTTTCCACCATCGACAGAGGTCTTTGGTGCCTTATTCTCAAACTTTGTTGTCGACCAATCACCGGTGATGCAAAGCAATTTAACAGCACTGTACGTTTCCAGCACAGAGAAACAATTATATGATCATATAGTTCCTGTGCTCTATGCGGCCGGTCTTTCAAAACTTGCACGAGTATGGAGGAAAAAGCTACTCGTATTTCAAGACTTTCCAAGGACGAGCAAATCCAAACCGTTTCTTCGATTTCTTGCCCGATTTTATCCGACAATCAATTTGACTGCGGAGGAACGAGAGATCGCAGGATTTGCAGCCAGTGCTTTCGACACGAACCCTTCGATTCCAGCAAATAATGATTCAGAGTTAAGCAGGGGACAATACAGTGATGCAATCGTGGCTCGATGGTTTGCTAGCACATGGACTTCGGTTGAGTTTGCCATTAATCTGGCGCAGAGACTGGGTCTCCGCGCCATAGGGCCAAGATCACTCCAATCCCTCGCACTGCGAGAGTCCGACTCACAGGCGATGGCATCACGTATTGCGCAAATCGAAAAACTCGATATTACCATTTCAAATCAGGTCTATTGCAAGGCACTGATTTTCTTTGCTAAACACGGGGAAGATGCACTCTTAGCGAGTCTTTTGGCTTGTGATGTCCACCCAGATGAGTTTGATGACATTGAAACCCGCCAAATGCTAATGGCTTCTTCTGTGCGGGAACAGAATTGGCAAATGGAAAGGTTACTTCAGGGTATCGAGTGGGCAATCGAATATGATCCTGCAACTCGCAGACTCCACACACTTCTTAACTGCGAACTGTCAAAGCGGGGTGAACTTGATAGAGCAAGACATGTTCTCGAGCGTATGGAAGCATTAAAGGTCAACATGGGTCAAGAAAGCGCCTTGCAGCTTCTGGAAAGAACCTTTCGAGGTCTGGGTAAACACCCTAAGGGACGGAAACGCCAAACAAGAGATGGTTCAAGCAAGGATTTCGAGGCTCTTCTGAATAGAGCCCTCGACGTTACCCGTCGTGTTGCTTTACATGACGTTGCTATACCCTTGAAGTTCTGGAGCTTGTTGTTTTATAATCTTGGTCGTTTGGGTCGTTTTGCTGAACTGGAACAATTATCTCTGGAAGTAGTTCAGCTTTATACACCACCATTCGGCGGCTTGATACCAATTCATGGCGATGATATGCCGCAAACCGAGAGCAAAACAGGCAAAGAAGTCGGTATGGTGCCGTGCCAATTCATATCTCCAATGCGGGATAAGAGCAATATTAGCCGTTGTTCACCAAAAGATGATCAGCCACTTAGTGGTGCCAAGGCAAGTTTTGAGCTGCGAAATGGGCAACAGCCAGGAAGCGAAGATCCGTCGAATGTCAATCAAAAACTTGCTTCTATTCCTGTTTTGAACGTTGGAAGCACTCGAGGCGATACTAGAATCGGGGACGGACTTGGCCCTGCATCAGTCAAGGGAGATTTGAAGGAGTATATCCCCGCAGACTTACCTTTTAGCCATCGGAAACATCCAATACAGAGGTTATTCAGTACACACCTCCAGCGATCCATTGTTAGATGGGGCTTCGATCAAACGTTGAAGTCGAAGCCAAGTTCGGTGGCACTCGTTGGTTCGCCTTCGACTGGAGTCTCAGCATTCGATGTAGCTAGTGGTGTACGGCTATTAGCGTTATTACGAGATCAAGGCGTTCTAATCGATTCGCAAGTTCTCCGAACAACGATTGTGGCGAGGATTGCTCTAGGACAAGTTCCAGGTCGTCAAAGGCATAGATCCCGAGACAGGCATGAGCTGTCAGTAGAGCACATGAAAGCATTGTTTGATGAGGCGTGGGGATCTGAAATTCTTCCCAGTCCTTCCGAAATAACACGACAGATTGAACATCAGAAGCCTAGGCTGTGGAGCAGATACTCCAAGCTATTCGGTCAGTCATTTGACAAGGGCCAAAAGGAAGGCGACCAGCGGGGTCAACTTTGACGAAACTGTAGTATATGTTGTGTGCATACACGAACGTACTTTGTGTATCTGTAATATATATAATAGCCTTTTCCAAGAGACTAAACTACCACAACTCTGGTCGCTCCCATAGCCACAAATTTTGGTGACACGCCTATGTATACACTTCTATTAATACATTTATTTGTTAAATCAGTGCCAGGTCAACCCGGTACCAAGTCCGACCGGAACTTTCGACGTAATGCTGGCCAATATCAATCATGTCTCTTTGGCTTTACGAGCAGGAGAATAAATAGTCCCGCAATGATTAGAATGAGGAGAAGGATTATTTTTCTCTTGGTAGTCCTTCTCTGGTAGCCTGAGGCCACTGTCAGTTCCCGGTCAGCCCCTTTGACGTTCTCATTCATTCTCTCCACGTTGTAGTCGATACGGTCGAGCATTGTGCCTTGGTCTATGACCATCGTTTGAAGGTCGCGAAATATATCAGATAGTTCAATAATCCCTTGCGCAATTTCCTCGATCTCGCGCTCTCGCTGAGCTATCGCGGCGTCATTGGAATGTAGGAGTTTCTGTTGCGACGCGGCTTGAAGTGTAGATTGCGAAAAAGACCGGTCGGCGTCTGATTCTTGTAGCGATGAGTCCATATCCGAGACTGCATGCGGCATGAAGGATGAGTCTCCTGGAGTGAAGGTGCCCAGTCCTCCCATGTCTCGAAGTTCTAAAATGTAAACAGTTAGCCGACTATGGAGTCTCTACCCAGGATTCTGCCGGCCTACTCTTTAGATATGCGCTTTGCTTCTTTCTGAAATTAGCGCTCGCTTCCTGAACCCTTGTTGCAAGAGATATCTGAATATTCTTTGCCATCATCTCTTCAGCTTTCGTAAGAGTTCCAGACTCTTTGGACTCGCGAACCATTTGCTCCACGCGCTGGATCCTCCGGTGGCAGTCATGAAAAGCCCCCGTTATTTGTTGGGTCAGCCGTTCAATCTGTGTTTCTTGTGCCTTTTTCGCCTCGTCGTCGTTGAATCCCGGGAGGACATGCTGCTGATGTAGCTTCTCAAGTTTGTGTCCTTTGGTCGCTACGTCGGCCAGCAACTCAGTAATCTCGTCGGAGACATCAGCCCAGCGAGGCGGTAGTAAATCCATCTCAATTCCCGCGTCTCCATCGTCGTCGAACCCGCCACTTGAGAGCAGCCCCCTTCGATCTTCAGCAGCATAGCTGCTACTTGAGTACGCAGCAGAGAAGGCGTTGGAGCCTGAGATATTCGAGCCGACATACTTGTTCCGCTGAATCGGATGATGCGCGTACGATTGACGATAGGAAATATAGCTGAATTCAATGCAAGTCAGCAAAATGCAGAGAGTCATGCACGCAAGCTCCTGCCTCCGGGGGTCGAGGCATACTGGACTTGGAGCGCACATACAGATTGGTGCGGTCTCGCCACATGGCGGACGCAGATAGCTTGTTTCTGCGACTTCCGAGACGGAGTAGCCTTCGGAAACTTCACAATGCAGAAAATCAGGGATTGGAAGAGCTGTAACAGTATCCAAGGATAAGACTCTTTTCTGTGTCGTGCTGTATCGTGTCGCAAGTAATGGTGTGCGCGGGTTGGAGGTGAGCTGGCTTGTCGCAAGCCGTGGGACAAGGCAATGACGAGGGGGGTGGCTACGTAAGTAGAACTAGAACTGAAGTGGCACCTGGGGCCAACTGGCATTGGAGCACTGTCACCAGACACTAAAAAGCCTTGACGGCGCCAGGTCGGGTCAACTGGTCTGGTCTGGTCAAGTGCTATGCGCCAGGCACTGGGGATTTACAGCATCCGATGGCCAGTAATGGGCGGATTGGCGGGTTATTTCAGCGCGGTCCTCTAATAGCTCTCCACTGTAACCCCGTAACTGCCAAAGCATCCAGGATTGAATTATCATAATCCCGTCCATGTCTGGTAGACCCCAACACAGTGCGATCACGGGCTTGAACATTGTTCGCCAGTAGACTCGTACCTCGGGGATCGCATTCAGCTACTGAGTTGACGCAGCCTAATATCCGTGCCTGGTGATTCCTGAACATTGAGACGCAGTCCGACGCGGGTGCTCTGGTACATGGTAGGAAGCGGCACCGTCATATGGTTGTGCATACAGTGGCAGAAGATCTCTCAAGCTTGCAACGGTGAAAATTGAATGCTCAAATGTTTCAGATGTTGCATGTAATAATAAGGGCCACATAATCATCGTCGGCGTCGTGCCTTGATTGATATCCTACTAGATATCTGCACCAGAAGGTAAGGCAACTGGCGAATCACACGCACACAAACCGGGCGTATTGGGGCGACAGGGGTCTTGGGCGGCCGTAGGGGCGGTCTTGGGCCATTGATCGCAACGTCAAGATCAAGGCAAGGCATCTATGCCTCACCCCACTCTGCTTTCCTCCTTACGACAACCCCCGAACCAAAGCTGCCCATCCCTGAGTCTGAGCCAAGACCTCGAACTTGCATCTAACCTCGCGCCTTTAACAACTCTTCGCAACTTGCTGCGTCTCCTTCGCCGTATCCCGCTCGCTCTATCCACGTACCTACCATGGTGAGTTAAGCTCAGATTTCCACCACCGTAATCAGTTTTGCGTCCCTGTGCTCTGCAACCCCGCGCTCTTCCTGCGCTCCTGCCTCGCAGTTGGGTGAGGGGCCGGCTTGCTTGTGGGCGGTGGAAGCCGCTGCGTTCAACATCGTCGTCTTAACTAATTCGGTTGCACCACAGGCCGACTCTCTTACCGAGGAGCAGGTCTCCGAGTTCAAGGAGGCATTTTCTCTGTTTGTAAGTTGAAAGACAGATCTACTGCCTCTGTGGGTTAGGCCTTCACCTGCTAATCTGTGCCTTTAGGACAAGGATGGAGATGGTAAGTACCGCCGCTTTTGCACGGCCGGGACGAGTCGCACGAGTCGCAACAAAGTATATAGGGCGCATTGTTCACCGTTCCATTCCCTTGACGTAATTGTCTACTTCTTGTGCTGAGAGAACATCGATCTCGCGACTTCATAGCTGATCGCATCTGTGTTTAGGCCAGATTACCACCAAGGAGCTGGGCACCGTCATGCGTTCCCTGGGCCAAAACCCGTCCGAGTCGGAGTTGCAGGACATGATTAACGAGGTGGATGCTGACAACAACGGCACCATCGACTTTCCTGGTAAGACTCATTCCGAATTTGTTACAGACCAGGGTGATCTCACTCACAGCGACTAACACGCGATGTGCCCCCCTTTAATTGTAGAGTTCCTGACCATGATGGCCCGAAAAATGAAGGACACTGATTCCGAGGAGGAGATCAGAGAGGCATTCAAGGTGATTTAGCCCGCATCTATGCTCTCGTCACAAGTGACTTGCAAAACTCAACTTGAACACAGGTGTTTGACCGTGACAACAATGGGTTTATCTCGGCAGCAGAGCTGCGTCATGTTATGACTTCTATCGGCGAAAAGCTCACCGACGACGAGGTTGACGAGATGATTCGGGAAGCTGATCAGGACGGCGACGGCCGAATTGATTGTATGGAACCATCAAACTAAGCGTTACGAAACGTTCCTCCACTAATCCGCTTGGCAGACAACGAATTTGTCCAGCTTATGATGCAGAAGTAAGAAGTCGTTTTTTTAGAACAAAAAAGTCAAGATGGGTGGTTCTCAATGGTCAGCTTGCTGGCTTATGCTAGAACCCCGATCAGAACGTTCAGACAGCCACCTACATGCCTCAGCTGTTGGCCCATGAACGCGATGGCGCTTTAGAGGGCTGGAACAGGATTTGGTGACTTGCCTCTTCTTCTGTAATGTTGGAGATTCTACTAGTCATCAGGGAATATCAATGGATTGGGAATTGTTATGTTTACAGAGAAGAAGGGTCTATCCTGGGTGTTTTGTCGGTTCTCTATTTTTGTTCGCAACGACCTCCGCCTTTTGCGGTTATCTATTTACCTGGGTGCCTACGTACCTGGATAGGTAGAATGATTGTGTGTTGGTGGAATTAGTACGGAAAGCAATTCACTTATGCCTTGTGAAAAACAAGGCATCCAACATCCAACTTGTCGTTAAATTTCACTTTAGTACCAGACGCAACCTCCAATATTGCATTTGAGCCGTACCTATGTGTCTGAGCGAAAACTGTGACATCCTCGCCGGAGGATTACATAAAGTTATTGCAGATTGTCTCCAGATTGTGCGGGCCGCAATACCTGGGCTAGACACTGAGACGAGCGCGAGGACTATTATTAGCTTCCAGTGGCACCAACTAATAGTAATACTACTACGATGTTTGTGTGTCCATCGGGCCGTTGATTTTCCTCTGTCCCAGTATTACATTCAAGTAAGCCAGTGGCTCTGTGTGGATACCCAATTAGGAGTCTCCTGGCTGAGCAAGCATCGGATGCCCCACGTTTCGACATCTTGCAATCCCAAGACGTCTGTCTGGAGACAGTCTATGCAGCGGTCGTCGTCTGCCACTTAATTCCCGGTTTCTCGAGCTTTCCTTTACATTGGCACTGGACGGAAATAACTGAAAGCCACAGATACCTTGTTGCTATATTCAGAAAGTTGGGGCATCGAAGGGCATAGCGCCTCCTTCCGCGAAACACTTTACTCCTCGACCCTGACCACACCTTGACCGATAATGCTTATGTTGGGCGCCTGCAAATCAAGATGAGCTCGCGTAAGGCCTTCCCTCAGGAGGGGTCTTATTTTCCATTTGATGATTAACTATATTCATAGTAAAGCAATTTATTCGTAATGTTCGTGCGGCAAAGACCATCGCGGATGAGCGCGCGGTGATTCAAAAGGAAAGTGCAGCTATTCGCGCGAGCTTCCGGGAGGAGAGTCATGACCATGGCGTTCGGTAAGCTTTCGTAATACACCTTTTATTCCATTTGATAAGCTAACGGTTTCGGACCAGCCGCAACAACGTTGCCAAATTGCTCTATCTCTTCACGCTCGGCGAACGAACTCATTTTGGCCAGATTGAGTGTCTGAAGCTACTCGCCTCTCCTCGATTCGCGGATAAACGTCTGGGACACCTTGCTACGAGTTTGCTCCTAGATGAGAACCAAGAGGTTTTAACCCTAGTCACAAACTCACTAAAAAAGTATCTCGATTCTCTGCACGTTTGACATCGGGATCAAAGCTAACGAGCTTGTAGTGATCTTGGCCACTCGAATCAATACATCGTCGGACTTGCCCTATGCACTCTAGGCAATATCGCCTCTATTGAAATGTCGAGAGATCTATTTCCCGAAATTGAGAACTTGATATCCACGTCAAACCCTTATATTCGGAGGAAGGCCGCTCTCTGCGCCATGAGAATCTGCCGCAAGGTCCCCGACCTACAAGAACACTTCTTGGATAAAGCCACACATTTGTTAGCGGACAGGAACCATGGCGTCCTTCTCTGTGGCCTGACCCTGGTCACGAGTCTGTGTGAAGCAGACGAAGAAGAAGGAGGTGAAGAAGGCATTGTTGACAAGTTTAGATCGTTTGTTCCGGGTCTGGTCAAGACACTGAAAGGTCTTTCAACCTCCGGCTATGCCCCAGAGCATGATGTTACTGGCATCACGGACCCCTTCCTTCAAGTAAAGCTCCTTCGACTGCTCAGGATTCTTGCCATTGGCGATCCAGAGACAAGCGAACAAATCAATGATATTCTAGCGCAAGTCGCAACCAATACAGACTCATCGAAGAATGTTGGAAATTCTATTCTTTATGAGGCGGTTCGTACAATCCTAGATATCGAAGCAGATTCTGGACTGAGGGTCTTGGGAGTTAATATCCTCGGCAAGTTTCTTGCCAACCGTGACAACAACATCCGTTACGTTGCTCTGAACACCCTAATAAAGGTTGTGGCCATCGAGCCCAATGCCGTTCAAAGACACCGTAACACAATCCTGGAATGTCTAAGGGATCCAGATATTAGCATACGAAGACGTGCTCTTGATCTCAGTTTCACTCTAATAAACGAGAGCAATGTACGAGTCCTGATCAGAGAGCTGCTGGCCTTCTTAGAAGTTGCAGACAACGAATTCAAGCCAACCATGACAAGTCAAATTGGAATTGCGGCGGACAAGTTTGCCCCGAACAAAAGGTGGCATTTCGATACCATGCTTCGGGTGCTGTCATTGGCGGGGAATTACGTCAAAGAACAAATTCTCTCGTCGTTTGTTCGGCTTATAGCAACCACCCCGGAGCTTCAAACGTATGCGGTACAGAAGTTATATGTTAACCTTAAGAAGGATATCACCCAGGAAAGCCTGACTCAGGCGGGCGCTTGGTGCGTTGGCGAATATGCCGATGCTCTGCTCAAAGGGGGGCAGTATGACGAGGAAGAACTCGTTCAGGAAGTCAGAGAACACGAAGTGGTAGACTTGTTTACGCTGGTATTAAACAGCAGCTATGCGACACAAGTCTCTACTGAATACATTATTACCGCCCTGATGAAGCTCACCACTCGCTTTTCAGAGGCTTCGCAAGTTGAGAGAATAAGGCGGCTTCTACAAAGTCACCAAACGAGCCTCGATGTCGAAGTACAGCAACGAGCAGTTGAGTACAGCAATTTATTCTCATTTGACCAAATTCGTCGCGGTGTCCTGGAGAAAATGCCTCCGCCACAAATCAAAGAGTCATCTAGAGTTCTTGGTCCAGCGCCTACTAAGAAGGCAAAGGCTACGAATAGGAAATCCAGGGTACTAAAGCCAACAGAGCAGGACCTGCTCGACCTTATGGATGCTCCTGCTCCAACTACCTCGGGGCCAACTCAGATTACAAACTCGGATCTTCTGGCAGACATTCTGGGAGGCAGCGCTTCAACACCGCCCCCGACGTCTACATCGCCGCATGCTCCTCAGCCAGCAAATGTGCCCTCAATTATGGACTTATTCGGGACCGAACCAAATCAGTCAACCAGTCCGTCAGCACAAACCCCTGTGGGCCTGAACTTGATGGGCAATAGCTCTCCTCAGACACAGGCATCTCAGGTTGAGCTAGGACATCCTTGCTACAGCGCCAACGACCTGAGTGTAACCATTCAAGTTCAAAGAAACGCAGAGGGTCTCATCCAAGCTGTGGCGCGTTTCCAGAACTTCTCCGCATCAACGTCACTCTCTCATGTCGGATTGCAAGCTGCCGTTCCCAAATCCCAGAAACTCCAACTTCTCAACATTTCGTCCGCAGAATTATATCCTGGCGCAGATGCCACTCAGTTGATGAGAATATCTGGATGTAAAGGGGTAAGATGGCTCCCCGTGTCTCAGTCTCGTAGCAAACCCCTTTTTCGTTCTTCCACGGTCGTTCTCGCTGTGTCTCAATATATTTCATATGTTTGATTGATTGCTAACGTTTTACCCAGCCACTACGCCTGCGCCTCAGAATCGGCTACGATCATCCCTCTGTCGGGAAAGTCTTGGATCAAGTGAATTGGACTGAGCCTTCGTAGGTCACTAGAGTGAAAAAAGGCAGGTGGCATTTGATGGGGCAACAAAAATCGGACAAAATTACACGATGCTATTAGATACTCTCGGTTCAGAGTGTAGAATCAACCAGAAATTCCTTATAACGATATCACAGCCACATTCCTCTGAAGTAACCTATTCCGGCTGGATGTTTCTAACGGCCAGGCGTCCCTTCAACTAATGAAATTTGTAATATCTTCAAAGACTGGAACTGGTTATCCTTGTAACACCAAAATTCATGCTGATTCGCAGCACCAGGAATAGCTTTCAATGACTCGGGCATGTAAGTAGGCGTTAGCTCCTAAGTACCTACCGAACGAACTTGGTTAAGTCTCCACTCCCATACCTCGGTGCCGCAACTCCCGTAGAAGTGACTGTCCAAGTCAGAGACTACCTACCTAGGTACCTAGTAGAAAGGTTGCAGAGTGCAGTACTCTGAAATACACCATCTAAATTATGTACAAATTCTGCAACGTCTTGCACTTTCTTAAGCAGGGTTCCTACAGGACTGATACATTCGCAAGATCGAGATTGCGTATCGGTAATCTGCCACGCTTCAGCAGTTGCTGCAGAGCTATGACGAGCTGTCGCACGGCACAACAAGCCCACTAGCTGTATTAGGTATCTGGCCACGTAATGCGTACGGAAATTAGATAATGCGCATAGCATTCGTGGAGCCGAGCGCCCCCTTTTTAGTGGCGCGTATAATTGTCTCTTTTATAGCTTAATTAAGGCTTTTTATTATTATTTTATATGTTATTTAGTAATTAATACTCGCTTTTATATAATAGTTATAAGCTTAAGAGAAATTTAACTCTTATAACTTTTATAAGCGTATTAAGCCTTCTTTATATATATAATATACTTATTCTTTTATTTTTTAAGCCTATAATAAGTGCCTTAATTAATCTATTAATAATTATAGTATTAATTCTTATTTTAAAGAAGCTACTTTAATTCCTATTAAAATAATAGAAATAGTTTAATCTTTTATATAATTATAATAAAGCTTAAAAGATTTAAAATAATATAAACCTTAATTAAAAAGAGTAAGAAATTAATAGTTTTCTTACGCTTTAATAATTAATAATAAAAAGAATTAATATCTTATTTCTTAAATATTAAAAATATAATAAAGGTCTCTCTCTTATTAAGCTATATAAGAGTTTTAATAAGAATTATATTATTAAGTGTAATAACTATTAATATAAAGAGAATTACACGTATATTATACGTACTTAAATCTTTAGTTTAATTAATTTAAGTATTTATAAGACTACTTATATTAACTTAAAGAAGTAAAATTTTAATTTTATATTAAGGTAACTATTAAAAGCACTTAAAAATTAGCTTACTTTAGCTTAATTAAGCGTGTAAGAGAAGACTTATAAAATCTATTAAGTAAGCTTTAAAGAAGCTTAACGCGTTAATTAAAGTATTAAATAATAGTATCTTAGTTAAAGTAAAGCTTATACTTACGCTTATATTAATAATATTAATAAGATAAAAGGTATTAACGTTATTTATAATTTTCTTAGCGCTATTAAAACGTAATATAAGTTTAGTTAAGCTAAAATAATACTTAACTTAATTATTATTAATAAAGCTTAAGAAGTTAAAGAAATATAAACGCTTAAAGAGTTTATAAATATATTTAATATTATTATTAACGCTTATAAGACTAATAAGTAAAGTAATAAAAGCGTATTTATTACGTTAAGTAAACACTTAAATTAAAATAATTAAGTAAGAAATAATAATAATAATACTTTAAAAGAAACTAATATTTACCCTTATAAATTTAAGTATTAATAATAAAAAGCTTTTACCTATTAAAGGCTACGTTACGTAATTATTAGAGATAAGAATATAAAGCTTAAAAAGTACCTATTAAAGAAAGAACTTAATCGTATTAAAAACCGCTATAATAATAAGAAATAAAAGGATTTACACGTGAAAATAATAATAGATAGCTAAGGTAAAGGCTTATAAGTATTAAATAATATTTATTCTACTAGTAGAAGCCTTAATATTATAATTATTAACCTAAAAATAATTTAATTAATTAAATAATACTTTAAAATTTATATTACACTTAAAAAGATTAAATACTCGCTCTCTTTAAGTATATTATTAAATAATTATAGCGCTTTATATCTTATTAATAACGTTAACTTACTTAAGCTAGGCTTATTTAAGAAGATTATAAGCGAATATATAAAGGTAAGTATAATTACTTATTTAATTATTAGAAGAGGTACACGTATACTTAAGAAGATCTTAAATAGTAAATAAGATACTTAAATTAAAGACCTTATTCTTAATAATATAACTATTATTAAGAAATTTTATATTAATATAATCTTAATAAGTAGCTTATAAGTAAAAGGCACTTAGGTTTATAGTTATAATAATATATTACGCTTTAAAACTATATAAGAAAGCGTAATATTAGCTTTATTACTTAAAAAGTTTAACGTTACCTTTTTAAAATATAAGCCTTTTAATAATTATATTAAAGACTCTTAAGGTAACGTTATAATATTAAGCGCGTTAACTATTATTCTAATAAGCGCTTAAGCTTAAAATATATATATATAAAGCTCTTAATACTAGAGATTAAGTAAAGACCCTTTAAAGCTAAGAGAAGATATACTAGAACTTTAATATTTATAAGTAGGTTATCTTAGTTAAGTTACGTTAAAGAAGCTTTATTTATATGCTAAAAACGTGTAAATAAAAGAAATTAAACGTAAGGACTATAAAATCTACGCTTAAGTTACTATATAATAAGTTATATTTAAGTGCCTAAGAGAACACGTATTATTAAGGCTCTTTTAACGGGTATATTAAAACCTTTAGAACTATTAACCTAGTTATAATAGTATAAATTAGCTTTTAATATTTAAAGATAAATATACTAAGATAATATAAGTATATTTACTTTTAAATAAAGCTTAAAAAACCGTTTTTAACGCGTTATTTTACTTTAAGCGCTAGGTTATAATGTAATTTAAGCTTTTTATATGTAAATTTATATAGAATAATAAAGGTATAATAATTAGGTAAGTAAGGGATTTAATATTTTAAAGCTAAGCACGTATATAAGGTATTAAGCTTAAAAACTTATTATTATACACAGAGCTCTTACGGATATAGTAAATACAAGTGTATTGTGTATTATATTTTATATTGTATTGTATTTTCATGTATTGTATTTAAATATAATACATTACATTCTTAAAATACCTATAAATGTATTATTAGGGAAAAACGCTAGTAAATTTTTTACTTATATATATAAGGCTAATTATAAGGCTTATAAGAAATATTTTTATATGCTACTTTAATTCCTATTAAAATAATAGAAATAGTTTAATCTTTTATATAATTATAATAAAGCTTAAAAGATTTAAAATAATATAAACCTTAATTAAAAAGAGTAAGAAATTAATAGTTTTCTTACGCTTTAATAATTAATAATAAAAAGAATTAATATCTTATTTCTTAAATATTAAAAATATAATAAAGGTCTCTCTCTTATTAAGCTATATAAGAGTTTTAATAAGAATTATATTATTAAGTGTAATAACTATTAATATAAAGAGAATTACACGTATATTATACGTACTTAAATCTTTAGTTTAATTAATTTAAGTATTTATAAGACTACTTATATTAACTTAAAGAAGTAAAATTTTAATTTTATATTAAGGTAACTATTAAAAGCACTTAAAAATTAGCTTACTTTAGCTTAATTAAGCGTGTAAGAGAAGACTTATAAAATCTATTAAGTAAGCTTTAAAGAAGCTTAACGCGTTAATTAAAGTATTAAATAATAGTATCTTAGTTAAAGTAAAGCTTATACTTACGCTTATATTAATAATATTAATAAGATAAAAGGTATTAACGTTATTTATAATTTTCTTAGCGCTATTAAAACGTAATATAAGTTTAGTTAAGCTAAAATAATACTTAACTTAATTATTATTAATAAAGCTTAAGAAGTTAAAGAAATATAAACGCTTAAAGAGTTTATAAATATATTTAATATTATTATTAACGCTTATAAGACTAATAAGTAAAGTAATAAAAGCGTATTTATTACGTTAAGTAAACACTTAAATTAAAATAATTAAGTAAGAAATAATAATAATAATACTTTAAAAGAAACTAATATTTACCCTTATAAATTTAAGTATTAATAATAAAAAGCTTTTACCTATTAAAGGCTACGTTACGTAATTATTAGAGATAAGAATATAAAGCTTAAAAAGTACCTATTAAAGAAAGAACTTAATCGTATTAAAAACCGCTATAATAATAAGAAATAAAAGGATTTACACGTGAAAATAATAATAGATAGCTAAGGTAAAGGCTTATAAGTATTAAATAATATTTATTCTACTAGTAGAAGCCTTAATATTATAATTATTAACCTAAAAATAATTTAATTAATTAAATAATACTTTAAAATTTATATTACACTTAAAAAGATTAAATACTCGCTCTCTTTAAGTATATTATTAAATAATTATAGCGCTTTATATCTTATTAATAACGTTAACTTACTTAAGCTAGGCTTATTTAAGAAGATTATAAGCGAATATATAAAGGTAAGTATAATTACTTATTTAATTATTAGAAGAGGTACACGTATACTTAAGAAGATCTTAAATAGTAAATAAGATACTTAAATTAAAGACCTTATTCTTAATAATATAACTATTATTAAGAAATTTTATATTAATATAATCTTAATAAGTAGCTTATAAGTAAAAGGCACTTAGGTTTATAGTTATAATAATATATTACGCTTTAAAACTATATAAGAAAGCGTAATATTAGCTTTATTACTTAAAAAGTTTAACGTTACCTTTTTAAAATATAAGCCTTTTAATAATTATATTAAAGACTCTTAAGGTAACGTTATAATATTAAGCGCGTTAACTATTATTCTAATAAGCGCTTAAGCTTAAAATAT